CAATTTGACTAACAGCACAGCACGGACGAACACGAGGAAATGCGCCGAGTCGAAAGGACCCACATTTATTCGCGTCCATGCAGCCACGGAATGGAATTGTTAATGAATCGAATTCCTTCTAGGGGGGCATAAAGGACAGCCAAGAGATTTTTCAACAGGTGTGGCTAATATAATAGTGAGGTCAAAAATAGGATTTTTATTTTGCGCAATAATAGATGCGACGAACGCAAAATGATTCTTCAGACGATATTTCGTATTCCTTTTTGAATATTTCGATGCTTGGGGAAACTGTTTTCCATAAATTTAATGTTGGTAAAGTCGCACAAAAAAGTTGACAGCTGGATTGTGTGGGGGGGGGGCGGGCATAAAACACTGATTGGATGTCGAGTTTGGTTGTAAACTCACTCATTCCCTCAGATGAGAAACACCAGAAACCTTGTACATTTGAACCTTTTTGAGTTAAACTCTAGGGGATCATCAAAAAGTGTGGCTTTTGTATTGTGAATACTTGCATTTTTTTCCAGAGAAAAATTGAGGATCTCAGGAAGTTGAAATCGGCAATTAGCTATGTCTTCAATTTCGAGGTAAATAAGTTTACAGGGTCACAAACTTTGAGGCAAGAGTTCATTTTCCAATTAGTCTTTCATTTCCTTCTGAAAATCATCATTATATTCATATTGCACTTCTCTTTCCTGGGTCCAAAAAATAATAGCTCTAACAGCTTCAGAGAATTATGAGTCATCAGAGGGTTGAGTAGAAAGTTTTTTAAATGGGGAGGTCCATAATAAAATGTTCGGGAGGGAATTCAGATAAAGGTCGAAAAATGATTGACAAACAGACTTTTTTTTACTATGATGAAGTGCTCCTTTCAGGATCTTGTGTGTAGTTTGAGGCATCAGAAAATGGGATCTTATGTGCTGCTTCCATCAGTACATTAAAAAATTATTTAAAAAATAGTAGACTTATTCATGATTTATTCTGTCATTATTTATTGATACTGAATGCGTATTATTACAGAGCACTAGCTGTACAGTGATATATTTTGAAAATGATTCTGTTGCGGTAAATTCCACAGCCTTCACATTTTCTTATGTGCAAAATCATTTTAGTTTGAATTAGTATTGACAAATATTTAATCTGTTCCAGACTAAAAAAATACCACAATAACCCTGAAAAAGGTTTTATTTTACAGGTGGTACCTCACAATTTGACCTCCCAAAATTCAAAAATCCCCTCAATTTAATGGTTGAATTTGCTGGGAGATTGACTTGCGATTTGACCTATGACTTGGAATTTGATCCACAGAGATGGACAAAAATTTCAAATACAATCAAGAAATCATTGCATTTGATGTTGCTTTGAAATTTGACTGCTTTGAAATTTGACCCAGCAATGTATTAGGGTCAAATTTATGGGCACCAGCACCTGTATACGTTTTTTTTTGCATGCAATTATCAATTCAAAGCTGATTAGCTGGAAATTTCGGAAATCCTTGACAAATTTGTGCTTTCAATTTTCTGAAATTTGAAAATTTGAAGTACACAGCTGAGAGATCTGCAGTTGGAGCCGGGATTTACTCCCCCCTCCTTCCATGTTCATCACGTCATATCCAGTCAAGACTCAAGAGGCTCTCATGCGAAATGTGATAGTGATTTGAGGCGGGTTCATCGTTGACGCGAGGCTTTATTAGACGCGGTGAAAAATTACAGGATGCCGCGTCTGGAAATGAACGTGGGCGTTGGCGAATAACACGGGGTGTGTCACGATATATACATATGAACAATGGACGAACTACAGTACAACAACAACAGCAGCCAAAAAAAAATCAGCGAAAAAATTCTCGACTTTTCCCGCCCACGGAATGCAAAATCGCAACGAATCGAAAAAAATATTGACCTCTATGTACAGTACTATGTTACACGACCCTCGGATGAACATTGTGATCATTTGTTTCTTGCATCTTTTTTCTTTTTTTTTTTTGCTCTCCCCGATTGATATATTATTGTATGAAGAACTCCATCGTGTGAATGTTTTTTCTCCCTTTTCGTTCGCCAAACATATGCAGGGACTTGTTTTCATTTCCACCTGCTTCTGATGCTAGAAGAGCAAAAAAAAAACGAAAAAAAAAGAAAATGGGCAGCAGTTTCGATTGCGATTCCGTGGACGAAAGGGCATGTTTTCTCGAAAGTGTTTTTCCCACCACTATACCACTTAGAATTTCACCGATTTTTCAGCTGTTTAGTATATAGACTATAAAGTGATGAAATTCAGATATTTTCAAAATTTAAATGGCTGATTATGGGTCACAAGTTTTAAAATAAAATCCACGATTAGGCAGCGAAGTGTCCCTTTACTAAAAAGAAGAAACCAAGGGAAGAAAAAAAACAAATTTCCAGGAAAGGGTGTGTTTTTTTTCAATTTGTGATATGGCTTCTAGCAAACTTGAAATTAAAGCTTTTTGAAAAAAATTCTTGCGGTTGGATGCGCCCCCAAATTTTTTACAGTGTGAAAATTGCAGAAAAGTCTGCACAGTATGTTGAAAACTCCAGCCAATCAGAATAAAACTTTGTCTAAATTAGGGATTTAATGTAACCTCATCTTTCTCTGCATTATATAGTGCTGTATTTTATTTACCGTCTCAGTAGATGGCTGGTATAATAATTGAAAATAATACCATATTCACTGAAGTACCACAAGAACCTTTTTCTCGAAATTCAGAAGAGAAAAAAGGGGTATGCTTGTTCTGGGCAGGTACACGTTTTTCAAAAAGTTTCAGTAATTTACGTGTGCAATATATTGTAATTGATTCTAGTTCAAAATGTTGAACCAATTTTAAAAGAAAACAGTACTGAAATCGAAAAATTGAAAAGTAGTTGAATTGTGGTTCAATTCATGTCTAAATTCAAATGTGGGTGTTTTCATTTTTAGAACATTACAGTTTTTGAGTCACTAAAACTGAAGCACGCACCTTGCTCAGAGAAACAATTTAATCAAAATCTTGAACTGGAAAACCCTGGTGCTGAGCATCTTTCGTGAGGGGATGTGGTACTCAAGTAAATATGGTAATACAGCATTGAAAAAACTTGACAAAAGTAAATACTAGTGGTTCAAGTTGCTGTGAGAAAAAAACATGCAATGAATGAATTGATGTTTGCAATTAATACGTGAGAGATGAATAAAAGTTCCAGATGGCTTCATTCATTTGCATCTCAAACCCATCGAGCCTTTGTGACAGCATTCCAAAATTATTTTCGATTCAGAACGTAATTTATTAAAATGTGCAACATATTCAACAAAAATCCTGAGTGATCAATTGTTCTTATAGCACTCGTTGTTAAAATCTCGAATATGTGCATTGAGCGCTTTCACCTAATTTGCATATTTATTTGCCATCATAGATTCGATTGTCTTGCATATATACTCTCGTGATTGTCTCATATTCGCTGACTCAACAACAGATGGGTTTCAGTGACCCTAGTTTGACGCTCACCAGGAGTCGTTTCCTTTTATATCTTAAACAATTTGGAAAAGGAACTAATTTTTTTTATCGCTTCCATGGATTGAGGTTCAAGTTCATTATTCCTTCTGCATCTGCTGCGGTTAATTTTGGAGTCGTTGATTCTCCAGATAGCCCGGCGAATGAGTCGGGTGTTCCATTTTCGGCGTGAGTTGGGCTCGGAGGGTAACTTATCTTTATTTTTCGCATATTTTATAGGTGAAGTATAATAGAAAGAATTGATGATTGGGAAGAAATGGGGATGGGATCGAACGTGTCCCGACGAGACTTCCCTTTTAGGGAAAGGGCGACGACCCGAACGTGAGTATACTGAGAATATTCAACTGCTTGGGACTGCATGTTTTTTTTTAAATATTAAATTTGGGCACTTTGAACCCCTTCAATGGCATGCTGTTCGTTGTCCATGAGTTCGATAGAATTTGAAATATGACTCAGGGATTTAATAATCTTGACATGGTCATTCCAACCAATAAAGAAAATGTGTTTTTTTCCAAATCATTAAGCGCAAGGCATTGATTTTACGAAAAAAGGACGATAAGCAGAAAAAATTGCATCTTCTCGATTAATTCCTGAAAAATTGTATAAATACTGAATTCATGTTAGCACTGCAGTGACCACACACAGATTTTTTCGGAAATTTAGGGTTTACAAAGGGGGGGGGGGGTCCAAGTTCAACAGTACGTAGCCTAAATAACGTAATCTTTTTAATTATTATACAAACCATAATGAGACAGTTGAACTACCGAACAAAAAATGGAAGTCAGCCAGATAAAATGCAGGATAAAATGAAAATTTGAACGTACAGTAATTCTTTTCAGCCCTACTTTTTTCTACACTTGTATTTTGTTTTATGCAATATAAGTTTTATATACAAGCACAATAATGTGAACGAATGTCTTCTTACAAAGCTTTTCTTTGTATTACGATTTTTGCACAGGAGTCCTCCAAAGAAACAGTTTTCTCTCAACATTTTGCGTCTGGTCTGGTAAGTTGATGCAGTATTATTATTTTCGGACTCTGTATCAAAGACGAACATTTCTCAAATAATTTCTGAGCGTTTCAGGTTATTGCATGATTTATTTTCTTCCTTTTTTTAGTGTCCTCCCAGCTGTTCGTTTCGGATTTAAAATTCATTTTACTTTTGGAAAACTTTTTGAAGTCTGAGTCAAATTTTTCGTTGATCGCATTCAGGTGAGGTTATATATTTTGGCTGACAGCTTTGTCAACTTCCAATGACCCGTACGTGGATTGTTTCTTTTGGTGACGAGTGGATAACAATGACCGTGTGAGTTGAGCATAATTTTCTTGGACAGTAGCTTCTATATACGGCAGAATCTCATTACAACAAACTCCCAGGGACTGCGAAAAATTTTTGTTGTAAACAAAAATTTGTTGCATCAAGATTGATGGATTTATTAACAGAAGTACACTTCATCATTTATCAAAGCCTTTTTTTTGTTTAAATAACTGCAGTTTTTATTTTCCTCTGAAATATCTGTACCGATAAATATCTTTTACCAAATGGTCACATTTGAAAATTAATGTAAAATCGGAAAAAAGAACTCATCACAAGAGAGCATTGGAAAAAGAACAGACTATCACAGATTTTGGTGGCTAGCTAGGCACTGTGCTTCCCGACTCCTGAGACGTTAATGGACATTAGATTAATCAGGATACATTTATTTTATGGGATTCCATGACAGTCAGCTAATGTTACCCATTTCTTGCTTCCTGTATTTTTGATTGTGTGATTCTGCTGCAGACACATTTCCTGCCCACTATTTGGGGATCATGAGCCTCAGGATGTTATCATACAAGAATCGGGGACCAAACATTTGGAAATTTAGGACAAAAAATTTTAAAATCAAATTAAAAATGTTAAAAATTTGCAAAACAATTTGTTATGACTGGAGAGACTCGAAACGAAATTCGTTATGATGAGATTAATTCAAGCTGCGCCTTAAGGATAACTGCTGGGACTTTAAAAACAAAAATTTTGCAAGCAAAAATTTGTTAAAACAAGATTTGTTGTAATCAGATTCTACTGTAGTATATCAGCTGTCAAAATATTCATTTTATCTCTGCTCCTTTTCATTTTAAATAGGAAGACAAGATGAAAAATATTTAACCCTGCAAAAAGAAAAAACTCTTTGGTCATGTAACCTGAAAATCGTGAGTAGGTGGTGATCTTGATCAAAAATAGGATATTCATGGTGTTTGTATGTGGGAAGAAAGTATTTGCGTATCTTGTTGGTATACTATTCTAATTGATCGTTTCCAAAAGTTTCCCCTTTTCTGAGAACAGCTGGACTTCGGTATGTTATGCTCCAATAATAACATTTATTTAGCCTATCTCACGCACGAGTCAGCCCATTTCCTTGACTGATTGTTATTACATTCTGTTGTTTGTGTCCAAGAACATCCTGAAAATTTTCTGAGAAATCAATGAAAATACAGTTAACCCCTGCACAACAGACCTCCCGCACAACAGCTTTTTGCAGTTGGATCCAGATTATCCTCCCGCATAAGTAAGTTCAAGTGTGTGCCCTCTTGCTCCCTTACTGAATTTACACAACAGACTTTTCACATAACAGACTATAGTCCGCTGCACAAATTAAGTATGTTGTGCGGGGGTTGGCCGTAATCCTTAATTAAATGCAATTGACTCACAAAAGTCTGCACAAAAGTTTGTTAATACCTGTATACATTAAATTTTTTGGTTGTACCAAAAACAGAAAATTGTGCTTGAATTGATTCCATTTTCATTATCCTGCACCTAAAAAAAAAAAAGAAGAAAGTTCTACTAGATAGAGCCCAGAACCGCATTTAGAACGATTTAGTCCCTGGGAAGTAATCGAGTACATGAACGAATTATCACGTAGGCGTGATTTGTGGGTAATTTCGGGGCTCAATTTCGAAAGGTTCACGGACTTGGGAGAGGATGAATGATTTCGGAGGCGTCAAGCTATACATTAAAACCTTGATTTGACTTTTATGTACACCACTGCAGTACCTAACCAGTGTCTGATTAATTACTGTCCACCGAGGTGCAATTGAGGTTCATTCGTTCATATGATGCATCGATCCAAGTATGCTTTACTCGGTTGAATAGCCTGTTATACCCCGAAATTAATGCCTAGTTGTTGAATCAGCCAAATTTATTTTCTGGCGCGTCGCTGGAAATGATTACAGTATTTTCCACGGAAGAAGAAGTGCACAAAAAAAAGTATTTTTTTTTTCGTTCCGACACTGTACACTTATACAGTGAGAAGCCGAGATGAAGAGGTTAGTATTTCTTACACCATGTCCATATGTTTGAATGTATGTACGCTGTAATGTATGTTGAATCACATTTTTTCAATTGGCGTCAGCTAGTAGGAATATTTTAAAATTGAAAATCACTCCTCATGTTAAAAGAATATAAGAATTTCTCCAAACAGATCCAAAAAGAAGGGTTTTTCAACTCTGAGATCCGGAGTATAACTGTGCACAAGGAAACCATCACGCAGAAGCTGCATGTTATTGGCCTGAAAAGAAGTCTGCAATGCCAAAAAAACAAGCATATTATTGTGCGCATAGGATGATAAAAAGCCCCTTGGAATAAAGATAAGCATAAAATTAGGTGTTTTTGAAAATTAAATTGGGTCGATTTATTAAAAGTTCATGTTCAAGAAAGTAGCTCCATTGAAACAAAATACAGGGTGGACCAAAAAAAAGTGAACCAAATTTTTTACTTGAAATAGCTTGGTAGCAAGTTGAGGTTTCACAAGCTTTGATTTCAACCTATTTCAAGTCAAAATTTGGTTCACTTTTTTTGGTCCACCCTATGTATTGACATTTTAATGTAGAATTCTTGGTTTTTCTGGATATTTTGGGAACTATTCATCTGTTGAGACATTATGCAGATTCTTTTACTTAACTTTTTGGACACTGTTCCAAACTTTTTTCAATCTTCTTCAAACATCACTTCTAATATTTTTCGAGAATTGTTGACTTCAATTATGTTTGTGTAGTTCGTTTGAAAATAGGACCTAAACAACAACAAAAAAGATTCCAAATCCTGTTTTTGTGAGACAAAAGCTAATTGGAAGGCTTATTGATTCTATCAATTTCAATCCTTTCTTTGGGAACATTCTAAGTTTTTGCTCCCAAAATACTCTCCCAAGCTGGATCCTTGTTGGCAAACCATTTAAGAAACGTTGCAAAAATCAAATTTGCAATATGAAAATTACATTAGAAAATACGTCTGTTTGCCCCAGTATTCAGTTGTAGAAGAAGAAAAAGCTTCTACTTATAATCGACTATGTTTTAATGCACGATTTTTTATGCCAGTACAGTACGGCAACAAATTCCATCTTTATTTGCCAGAAAAGCTTCCAGCAGCTGGAATTTCGTTCATTTACTTATAAATCTTGTAAATAAAGTTTTCATGCTTTTTGATAATTAGAAAATAAACCCGCTTTAGATAGTACAGTACTTGGATTCCGGAGATAACACTGAAGCTAGCCCAAGGGCTAATTTTTTTGCCCCAAAGATGCCGACGTTTGTGCCAAGTTTTTGTCCCCAAAAAGGTTTCACAAGCTGGATCCCTAATTGCAAACCAGTAGGAAAACCTTACAAACATAAAGTCTTCCATTTTGAAAGTAAATTAGGAAAAGTATTTGTTAGCCGAGACCCACCCTGTAATATTTGGTGCAGGAGAGAAAGAGCTGAACTTCTTCTCATATTCCACAATATTTTAATCCACGATTGATTATACTGTATACTAGTGTTGAACAATTCCAATCATCTGTATACATATTCGCAATAGATCTTCTATATAAGCGCTTGCTATATTTCTCTATTATTCTAAAAAAAAAAAGATGCTGCATCCAGCTTTTTTATTTCATAAAAAAAATGAAGCTTGCTCTGAAAAGTTCTTGGATTCCTGAGATTACAATGAAGCCCACGTGCTCATTTTTTATGACTTTTTATTTATTTTTTATTTTTTTGCTCAAGAGATGCCGACGTTTATGGTTCGATCCCGTGCTGCTGAAGTGCCATCATGGAAAGCTAAGCTCCTTGTCTTGCCCCACTACGCCGCAAAATCGAAAATCACTGTACTTCAGTGCGAGAAGTGCCTCTAATGCTTTGTGAGTCGGCAATCTCTGCCGACAAAAGCCTGAGATTGTTATCTTTTCATCTTCTCTAATAACGAGAGCATTAAAATATTCTTGCGCTTTGTAGCGAGTATAGGCCGTAAACATCACCAGGAGCTCAGAACTATATATACAATAAAAGATCGCAATCCGTTGTAACGA